ACAGAGAATGCCTCTATAAAGTGGCCAGTCCAGGTAAAACCCCTGAAAAAACAGAATCTATGTTGGACTGGCCACTTTATACCCCCTCCCCCAACAGAGAATGCCTCTATAAAGTGGCCAGTCCAGGTAAAACCCCTGAAAAAACAGAATCTATGTTGGACTGGCCACTTTATACCCCTCCCCCAACAGAGAATGCCTCTATAAAGTGGCCAGTCCAGGTAAAACCCCTGAAAAAACAGAATCTATGTTGGACTGGCCACTTTATACCCCCTCCCCCAACAGAGAATGCCTCTATAAAGTGGCCAGTCCAAGTAAAACCCCTGAAAAAACAGAATCTATGTTGGACTGGCCACTTTATACCCCCTCCCCCAACAGAGAATGCCTCTATAAAGTGGCCAGTCCAAGTAAAACCCTGAAAAAACAGAATCTATGTTGGACTGGCCACTTTATACCCCCTCCCCCAACAGAGAATGCCTCTATAAAGTGGCCAGTCCAGGTAAAACCTGAAAAAACAGAATCTATGTTGGACTGGCCACTTTATACCCCTCCCCCAACAGAGAATGCCTCTATAAAGTGGCCAGTCCAGGTAAAACCCCTGAAAAAACAGAATCTATGTTGGACTGGCCACTTTATACCCCCTCCCCCAACAGAGAATGCCTCTATAAAGTGGCCAGTCCAGGTAAAACCCCTGAAAAAACACATTTTTACCTGGAATGGCCACTTTATACCCCAGCCAGTGGGCTCCAGGACTTTGACCCGGAAACGGAAGGACTGACAACAAGGTAAAGGGGGAAAACTACAACGGAGAGGTACAACGGGAAGGCTACCACAAGAAAATGAGACATGTCACGTTTATATACGTTTATTGTTTTCAATGTGTCATATAGATTGGCGATGATTGGTATATTGAATATGTTGTAGATGTATTTTGGAACATATGTATACCTATGATTCACACATCAATATAAATATATATAAATCATAAACACATGCCAAACCAAAAACTTTTAGCTGAGTATTGTATTCCCAATCTGTTGGCAAATGTCCAGCCGATTCACCATGCGTGACCCAACAAGATTCAAACTATGGATTGTTTACTTTTGAAAAAAATACTGGGTGAATCTACGTATATCTATGACGACAATCTCCCAAAATCATCCTGAAAATCTATGGACATCTATGGACCAAAACCACGGCCACATGCCCATCCTCTATAAAATGGTTTGCAAGAAAGTTCAGCTCTATAAAGTGGCTTGATCACGTCATTTCTGGCAGCCCCACCCTCTGTATAAATTGGCCGGTCCATGCCCATCCTCTATAAAATTGTTTGCAAGAACCAGTATATAAACGTGACATGTCTCATTTTCTTGTGGTAGCCTTCCCGTTGTACCTCTCCGTTGTAGTTTTCCCCCTTTACCTTGTTGTCAGTCCTTCCGTTTCCGGGTCAAAGTCCTGGAGCCCACTGGCTGGGGTATAAAGTGGCCATTCCAGGTAAAAATGTGTTTTTTCAGGGGTTTTACCTGGACTGGCCACTTTATAGAGGCATTCTCTGTTGGGGGAGGGGGTATAAAGTGGCCAGTCCAACATAGATTCTGTTTTTTCAGGGGTTTTACCTGGACTGGCCACTTTATAGAGGCATTCTCTGTTGGGGGAGGGGGTATAAAGTGGCCAGTCCAACATAGATTCTGTTTTTTCAGGGGTTTTACCTGGACTGGCCACTTTATAGAGGCATTCTCTGTTGGGGGAGGGGGTATAAAGTGGCCAGTCCAACATAGATTCTGTTTTTTCAGGGGTTTTACCTGGACTGGCCACTTTATAGAGGCATTCTCTGTTGGGGGAGGGGGTATAAAGTGGCCAGTCCAACATAGATTCTGTTTTTTCAGGGGTTTTACCTGGACTGGCCACTTTATAGAGGCATTCTCTGTTGGGGGAGGGGGTATAAAGTGGCCAGTCCAACATAGATTCTGTTTTTTCAGGGGTTTTACCTGGACTGGCCACTTTATAGAGGCATTCTCTGTTGGGGGAGGGGGTATAAAGTGGCCAGTCCAACATAGATTCTGTTTTTTCAGGGGTTTTACCTGGACTGGCCACTTTATAGAGGCATTCTCTGTTGGGGGAGGGGGTATAAAGTGGCCATTCCAGGTAAAAATGTGTTTTTTCAGGGGTTTTACCTGGACTGGCCACTTTATAGAGGCATTCTCTGTTGGGGGAGGGGGTATAAAGTGGCCATTCCAGGTAAAAATGTGTTTTTTCAGGGGTTTTACCTGGACTGGCCACTTTATAGAGGCATTCTCTGTTGGGGGAGGGGGTATAAAGTGGCCAGTCCAACATAGATTCTGTTTTTTCAGGGGTTTTACTTGGACTGGCCACATTATAGAGAAGAAGATTTCCCTTGAAAAATTCCTCAGGGTGAATGGGGTCCTGGGCGCGCCGCGCGCGCGCGCCAAAAAGGTCTCAAAATTGGAGTCATTTTGGCGCGCGCGCGCGCGGCGCGACCAGGACCCCTTTCACCCCAAGGATCCCTTTCAAAGGAAAGTGTGTTAGAGGCATTCTCTGTTGGGGGAGGGGGTATAAAGTGGCCAGTCCAACATAGATTTTGTTTTACCATAGATTCTGTTAACGACTTCGATATAGATATTTGTCTGGCTGTCGGTTTCGTTCGGTTTCGAAGTCATTCGAAGTCTTTTGGGTTCCCCATCGATGAGATCGATGATATTCCCCCAAGGTTTGAACGTGGCCCCTCAACTTTATAGACAATCATGTCGATGCTGCCATCGTCGCGATTAAGAAAATCATCGCTACTACAACGATCGTTGTTTAGCCGGAAATCCACATTATAGTCATGGGACATGTTCACAAGTACCCTCAAAAACCTGCATCGAGTTTTATGTTTTTACGCGGCCAGGCGACTTTATACAAACGTTGGATTTTGACTTTATAGACAAAACATGTTGGCTTTCCACTTTATAGACTCCAGACATGTGGCCATTCCAGTTTATACCAGGCTATTCTCTATAAAGTCGGCCGCAAAGCATCTAGCGGGCTATACATGGGGGATGTTTGGGTGATTCCAGCTCAAGAAGTTACCATTGAATACCGGGGTGTTCATTGGGGCGAAGACCTGGCGGCTTACGGGGGCATCCTGTATCTGAACAGGGGACGCTTTGCTGGAATTGCTTGGCGTAGAGCTTTCAGTGTGAGGGAAGCTGTGGATCTTTTTGTCAGGGAAGCAGCTTGGCACGATGTGCCCTCTGAGCCTATTTTCTACTACAGATGGCAGCGAAACTAGGACAAGTGGCCTACATCTGCTTGTCCGAGGCCTTTGAGGACCCCAGATGGCGGGAAGGTTTGGTGGTAGGAATCCGACACCACACAGTGCAGCTGGTAGTGAGATCAAACGACGTGAAAGAGTTGGGGCCGGACATAGCTCGGTTCGAGCACAAGAAGGTTTCCTTTTTTCTTTTGGAGTGCCCGGCAACCCATCTCAGGGCGGCGCGCAACAACCGCCCACTGTGTTTGGGAGTGGATTCAGGAGACTTTCTCACCGAAGGGAAGATTTACGTGGAGTCAGACCCGGAGTTGCAGTTTGCAACTGCGTCAGATCCAGAGCCTGTGGCTGCAGGGCGGAAGAAGGGCTCAAAAATGAAGGAGCCAGATTCAGATGCCAGCAGCAGTGGAAGCGAGTCAGAGGAGGACCTAGTCGGCATGTTGAGCAAAATGCAAAAGAGTTGGCGAGGCAGGGATTCTGGCGAAGGAAGAGGATCAAGCAGCTCACGTCATTTGACCGGGGGCAAGAGATTTTCATTCCTAGACAAGGACAACAAGAAATCAAAAGGATCAAAGGTGGTGGAGCCAACTTCAACGCAGAAGATCTTGGACAGCCTGGACACCGAGAAGGATCCAATCAAGATGCTCGTGGCCTTGCAGCTGGCTCAGCACCTTCAGGCAGGAGAAAAGAAGGCTCGGAGACATCGGAGTCGCAGTGCCTCAAGGGAGTCGGCAGACAGCAGGTCAGCATCCAGCGATCGCTCTCTCTCCAGTGGTCGGAAACGTTCCGGCCACGCCAGAGCCATAGAGAACTATCATGGAGCTCGTCGCCGGATGTTCAAAAGGCCGCTGCATCATGTGAGGCGGTACGTGAGACAAGTGGAAAGGCACCTAGGTGCCAGCGACAGACCATATCGTCTGTCGGAACTGGGCAAAAAGATCAGCTGGGGCAAGCAGAAATCATTGCAGCGAGTTCATTACATGATGAGCGAAGTGCTGGAGTTGATGCTGAAGGGCCAGATGGAGAAAGCCTGCCTGCAGCTGGTCTTGTGTCTGAGAGCTGTCCACCAAACGGCGTTGGATCAAGGAGACTGGGAGGTGAGTTGGATGATAACCCATCTCGAGAATCCGTTCAGCCGTCCAAGGTGGGGCGGCGACGAAGCAGAGCTGGGCAATGTAGCAGCCTATCTCAGATCGATGGCGGAGCTGGAGAAGAGCACAGCCAAGCTCCGTGCCCAGAGCTACTACACCATGGACCGCGCAGAGGACCCTGCAAAGCCTGGAAACCCAAACAAGAAAGGGAAGAAGGGCAAGGGCAGGGGCAAAGCCGAGGAGGAAGAAGAAGGCGCCGAGAAGGCCTGAGTTCCCAAGCGCCTGCCGTGGAGGCACCCAAGACTGCGAAGTCAGTCTTTAATTCATTGTTGTCGGAAGTTAGTGCTAGCCATGGTTCTTTCGGCAGATTCTATCGAGTTTTGCATGAGACAGCTTCAGATGAGAAGCCGGGGCCTAGGACACCCTCTAGTGGGGATAATTCCAATTTATTTCCGTCTGTTCTTGTTGTGCCGAGAAACCATGGTACTTCGAGGAGTGCTCGCATAAGGGCACGTAGGCGAGGCCGGGAGACCAGTTGGGAATGGGTGGAACTAGTGTGGAGCCTTTTCACTTTTCTGGAAGGGGGATCACCTTATAAGCCTTGTGACCAACTGGCGTTAGCCAATCTTGCTCGTGCGTGCATGTGGACACAGCAGCATGCACAGTTTGCCGGCTGTTTGCATCAACAAATTCGAGAGTTTGTCTTCCTCAGATCGCAGGAGCCTTTGAGTCGCGGACATCAAAAATTAAATGAATTCATTGATAAAATTAGGCCACATAATTCAGACTATAAGCCTGGTCCCTATACACTTAGTGAACTGAGTCAATCCGCGCTGCCTGTGAAGCCAGACCGCATGTCCCTGCCTGAGAAAGCCGGTGTGTTGGATCCCAGAGACCACTTGAAAGGCAAGCACCTCCGAGCCTTTGAGCGCATGCCCTGGGAGATTCCCCATGATGTTCCCCCTGAACCTCCAACAAAAGGTTGTTTCAAGGTTGACCCCAACGACATCCCCATGGTCTATCGTAAACTTTTAGAGTCCGGTGTCGCCACCTTGATACCAGCTGAAATGGCTTTGAGGAATGCGCAGGGACAAATCGTCTCGGGAGGACTGTTTGCAGTTCCGCACAAGGAAGCAACCGACAGAATAATTTTGGATAGACGTCCCATGAACGAACTAGAGCGGCGAACGATAATGGCTAAGTTGCCCCATGGCTCCCTGTTTACGCAGCTGATAATCCCCAAGGGATGTTCAATCCGAGCTTCAGGTGATGACCTATCCAACTACTTCTATCTCTTGAAACATCATGAGGAATGGTTGGGGCGTAACACTGTAGGTAACCCCATCCCTGGCCATTGGTTCCCGGATTTTGGATGTTCCCCAGAAAAAGATTACATGCTAAGTTTCAGGGTGATCGCCATGGGAGATTCAAACGCAGTAGACATCGCACAGGAGACCCATTATCAAATTCTGCGGGATGCCGGTTGTTTGAGAGGGGATGAAACTATTGCCTTTAAATGTATTCTGCCAGCCAAAGCCACTTGGGAAGGGTTGTATATCGATGATCATGTGGCAACGCAGATCGTACCTAAGCACGCCTCTCGCCAGAGGGGTGAAAAGTTTCGGGATGATGAAATTATCAGGGATAGTCGTGCTAGATATGATGAACTAGGACTCCCCGTGTCCCAAAAGAAAAGATACACTAAGATCCCAAAATTCACTGCTTGGGGTACAGAGGTTGATAGTCAGACGGGTCGAGTAGGTGCCCCCCTTCATAAGTTGCAACAACTCGTCCAGCTTATTCATGAGGTGTGTCAACTTCCTTTTGTCACTAAAAAGCTGCTTCAAAAAACCGTTGGTTTGATAGTCCACCCAGCCATGCACCGTAGGATCTTCATGTCACTGTTGCAGGAAACATACTTGTGGATTGAGAAGTTAGGGAATGGGCAGCGCAAAAAGCTGCCTACCAGGGTCAGTGAAGAACTCTACTGGGTTGCACTTTGTGTACCTCTCATGCATGCGAATGCGCGCTGGCCGATTAGCCGAAGAGTGTCGGCCACCGACGCGTCGAGTAGCGGAGGAGGAAGGGCTGCCACAATGACCAGTTCATCCGTGGCCCAGACCCTCTTTAGATTCAGCGAGCATCGTGGAGAAGCGTGCAGGTTAGACTGGGCCAGTGGCAGCCTGGCCCCTCCCAGTCAAATGCAGCAAGCGCCCGCAGAGCTAGAAAGGCTCATGGCCGCTCACATATGGAACACTACCCAAAAGTGTAAATTTGGTCATAGGCAGCACATTAACATTCTTGAACTAAAGATGTTGAAGGCTGAGCTGAAGGATTTGGTAAAGAACCATACCGCACCTCAACGTTCAGTCGTGCTTTGTGACTCCCGGGTAGTGTGCGGAGCTTTTGCGAAGGGGCGCTCGTCCAGCCGGCAATTAAACCGGATCTTGAGGTCCATGATTGGATGGTTGGTGGCCGGGCAAAAGAGCTTGCATTTGGTGTGGGTGCAATCATGTGCTAACCCTTCAGATCACCCTTCACGTGGTAGGCCCATACCTGAGCCCAAGGATATAGATCCCTTAGTCCAATCTCTCCAAGGTAATGAATTCTACGAGTCCCGTAAGCGTAGGTCCAATAGAGAGATTCACAAATTGTCAGTTGCCGAGGCACCCCAAGATGTTGTAAATGACATGGGCATACATGGCAATAAGCCTAATGAGCACCCCGCTCAGAAGCTATGGACCTTTAAAGAGATTTTTGCGGGAAGAGGCCAACTGACTGGGGAGTTCCGTAGAAACAAGAAGTCCTTGGTTGGTAGTCCCATTGAAATCAATCAGAGGGGTAAAAAGTCAAAATTTCATGATCTGCTTCATGACAGGACTTTTGACCGACTGTGCACTTTAGCAAAGCAACCTCGACAGTTTTGGCACTTTGGCCTACCCTGTGGATCATTCAGTATCATGCAGAACATGAATCAGGGGTCAAGAAGCCAAGAGAAGCCCGAGGGGAACGGGCTGTTGGAACGCGAGCTATTAGGTAATGAACTGCTTTCAAGGACAGTTTACCTTTGTAGATTGTTGCATAGTCACGGCAGTTTTTTCATAATAGAAAATCCTCAGTCCTCTTATGCCTGGAAGATGCCGAGCATGATCTCTTTGCTGAAAGACACGCATGCCCAGACGGTCGTGTTGGATCAGTGTGAATATGGGCTCAAAATTCCCGACAAAAGCGGGGAGCTAGCTTTGGCAAAAAAGGGCACCATTTTTGCAGGGACCCTACCCAAGCTAGAACGACTCAGCAAGAGATGCAGTAAAAACCATGCACATGCTCAGGTCATAGGTACAGCCAAGGCTCACGGAAAATGGCAAAAAAGGTCAGCACTGGCCGGGGCCTACCCCACCAACCTGTGCCGGGCATATCATCGGTGCTGCACATCCCTGTTCGCTCTATAAAGGGGGCACCTAAGGTTTTAGAGTTTTTTCAAGTGTTCTGCTGCATGGGCCTTTGCATGTCAGTTTTTTTAACTTTAGCCAAACGGAGCTATGGATGGCAGCATTTTGAGACTGAACAGGTACAGTTTCGCCTATCGCAAGCGGTTAGTGCGCGGGGCACTTGAGCTCAAGACTTGTCTGCGCACGAAGCACCTGCCTTGGCAACTGATTCTCAAAGGTCGATCAAAAGCTGTGGATGACATATTGGAGAAATTTGTGACAGAAAGACATGAGCTGAAACGGCATAGCAAGGGCAGCCTCGCTCTGGTGAAACATGCGGTGCTTTTTTGCCAAGTCTGCCGCCCACGATTGCGGCATCGCTTGAAACAGACCTGGGCGACATTGAAGGCCTGGGAAGAGCAGGAGCCGGGAAAATTGAGACCTCCACTGCCGATAGCAGTCCTGATGGGGCTGGTGTGTCAAGCCCGTATTCGGTCCCAGCTCGCCAGCTCTGCACATGATGAACTCAAATGGCTAGTCTTCAGCGCACTTGTTCTGGTAGCCTATTTTGGGCTCTTAAGGCCTGGAGAACTCTTTGCCTTGCGAAGAAAAGACGTTGAGCTGCCAAACCATGTGAACCTCTGTCTCCCTTGTGTCACTTTAGGAATAGAGAAGCCAAAGAATTATAGGCAGTTGGGATTTCGCCAATTTGCGACTGTGAAACATTTGAGTACGTGTGAGTGGGTAAGCTGGGTTTGCAGCAACATGCGGAGCCCTGACCAAAAGCTCTGGCCGCATTCTGGCGCAGATTTCCGTAAGATGTTCAAAGATTGTTGCAGACAACTTGGCGTCTTGTCCTGTAACTTCACTCCAGGCTCATTACGAGCGGGGGGTTCTACCTTTTTCTTTGATGAGCAAGAAGATATAGGAAGGCTGCGGCTGTTAGGACGCTGGAGCAGCATTCAATCATTAGAGCATTATGTCCAGTCCACAAAAGGGCAACAAATGCTGCAGAAGCTTTCGCCGAAAACCGTGTCCAGGCTCGAAGTTTTGCTGAGGCAAGGAGGATTTTTACTCCAGCTTCCTGACCGACTGTTGAAAAAACTTCCAGTTGGCCAGCGTCTGAATCCGCCCGAGTTAGATCTTGATGGACCCCTCTGGCAAGCTTGCCGAAGATGGGGAAGGGCTCAGGCGACGCTTTAAGCGTGCAGTTGTGGGAGGAGGTCGGTTGAAGGGTTCGAGATACTCTGACTTGGCTGAAGCTGAGATCCGTAGATGTGCAAAAAGCTATCGAGGTGACGCAAGATTTGGCCAGTATTGCCGACAGTGGGTAGCAATCCACTCCTCAGCCACTCCAGCTCTTACAATAGATCCAGATCATGAAAAGAGGACAGAAATGAGTGAAACCCACGGACTGCAGCTTGTCAGCGGGCTTCGATGGGGTTTGACCTTGATTTGGCGGTTTTATGCATGGATGCTGCGATTTGCAAGAGGAAGAAAAGCTGTTGCAGTCATTTTGCTGCTAATGGTGGCCTACTTGGCCAGCCGCCCTGCCTTTTCAGTCTTGTGCTCGAAGCCGGTGATTCTGACAGCGCGAGAGTCTTTACGCAGATGCTTCTGTGTGCTTTCTTTGCTGGTGGATGGTTTGCTGGAAGAAGCAGTGGCTCAAATAGATTCCTTGTTGCGAAGTCCCCAGCCTGCGGCACGAGAGGTGCCTGTGGCCCAGACAGCACAACCGACAGAGACCACACACTGGTATCTTCTTCACTGGCTGTTGCATGGTCTCTGTTTGATTTTTGGACGGCTCCGTCGTAGGACTCCGTAGTCGTTCATTTCCTCCAGTTCACCAAGACAACCACAATCCCCCAGGATGATTGGATTTAGGTTCACCGTGCAAGTTTGGGAATGTTGGGTAAACAAATTGCCATCTCACTGCATTGCCAATTTAGGTTCATTTGCATTAGATGATTCAATGCCCAAGATTGCCGAAGATTGCCGAAGATTTCCAAAGATTGCCCAAGATTGCCTTTTGTCAAGCGCTGCGTCAACCTTGGCGCTTTTGACCTTAAGGGTCATGCATGTTTCATGTGATCTTTGCAGGCGTGCCCCGAAGGAAAACAAAGCGGGCATGCAATCTGCAGCAGCAAGGGGCAGTCATAATCCCAATGAATGACCGTGTGGCTGCTTTAGCTTCAAGCCTACCACCACCTCCACTCCTCCTCCACTCTTGGGTAAACAAATTGCCATCTCACTGCATTGCCAATTTAGGTTCGTTTGCATTAGATGATTCAATGCCCAAGATTGCCGAAGATTGCCGAAGATATCCAAAGATTGCCCAAGATTGCCTTTTGTCAAGCGCTGCGTCAACCTTGGCGCTTTCTACCTTAAGGGTCATGCATGTTTCATGTGATCTTTGCAGGCGTGCCCCGAAGGAAAACAAAGCGGGCATGCAATCTGCAGCAGCAAGGGGCAGTCATATATATTCCTGATATGGGGTAATTTGTTTGGGTCAACTTACTATAGTTGAACCCTTTGTGGCCCCTGCAATACCAAGCTGGCATTACACCATGGGTCATTCCCGCAGGCCTTAACCCCCGCGAAAAGTGTTTAGTGATTGACCTCTTGGAATGTATTTTGAAACAATAATGGTTTTCTAGGTCCGGGATTGGCGCTGCCCTTTCTCCCGTAATGTCTAGATGCGCAACGGAATCAGTACTTGAGGCTGAGGGCAATGAAGCACCCCAGCAACCTGATGCCAAGCGTCAGGCCCTTGAATTGTTGGGCGATACACAGGACATTTGAAAAAAAATCAAAGTTGAACCAAAGGATTGCTGTCCGCCCTGGGGAGAAAAGGTGCTTAACAGTGCCTGGGGGGCATCCCATTCCGGAATTTCGAATTGCCCCGGCTAATAAGTCCCTTAGTCTATTTTGCAAATCTACTGGGTAAACCAACTATGGAACTATGGTTCCTACAACGTGGGTGCCCTGAGATATTTTTCAGACGGCTATTTGGTTTACAACTCCAATGACCAGGACTTTTGGTGGACGTACTCTTGTGAAGGTCAAGCAACTTGTGGCTTATTTGAAAGCACAGACACGCTAACATACACCAATATGCACTAATGAACGCTAATCTAAATAGTGCAGCTTCCCGTGAGGCCACTAGGAGTTGCTACCTAATCAGGGCTGCGTCAAGTGGTGACAACATGCAAATTCCGTGGCAGGCGGCAGGCGTGGCGTTTTGTGACATGTGCTGAAAAGTGAGGGAAGCCTCCACTACACAATCCACACTTTACACTTTACACTCTACACTCTACAATTGACACATTGCACTCTACACTTTACACTCCACACTTTACACTCCACACTTTACACTCCACACTTTACACTCCACACTCCACACTCTACACTTTAGACTCCACACTCTACACTCCACACTCTACACTTCACACTCTGCACTTTACACACTCTACACTTTAGACTCCACACTCCACACTCTACACTTCACACTCTGCATTTCGCACACTCTACACTTTACACTCCACACTCCACACTCTACACTCGCCACTTTGCACTCCACGCTTTACACTCCAAACTCCACACTTTACACTCCACACTATACACTCTACACTTTACACTCCACACTCTACACTTTAAACTCTACACTACGCTTCACACTCCACACTCTACACTTTACACTCCGCACTCCACACTTTACACTTTACTCTTTACACTTTACACTCCGCACTCCACACTTTACACTTTACACTCCACACTCCACACTGGACACTTGACACAATACACTCCACACTCTACACGCAACACTCCACATTCCACCTTTGCACTTTAAACACTCTACACTTTACACTTCACACTCCACACTTTACACTCCGCACTCTACACTCTACCCTTTACACTCCACACTCTACACGCCACACTCTACACTCTACACTCCACATTTGACACTTTACATCTTACACTTACACTCTACACTCCACGCTCTACACTTTACACACTCTACACTTTACACACTCTACACTTTACACTCCACACTTTACACTCCACACTCTACACTTTGCACTCCGTACTCCACACTTTACACTTTACACTCCACACTTCTGCACTTTACACTTTACATTTTGCAATCCGCCGTTACACACCACACTCCACACTTTACACTTTACATTGCGCACTCTGCACTTTTGCACTCCATATTTACACTCCACACTCTCCACTTTACACTGCACACTTTACACCCCAGTCCGCGCTCTACACTTCAGACTTTACAATTTGCACTCCAGACTTCACACTCCAGACTCCACACCCTACACTTTACACTCTACACTCTATACTTCACACTCCACATTTAACACTCCACACTCTGCACTCTACCCTTTACACTCCGCACTCTACACTCCACACTCTACTCTCTACACTCCACATTTGGCACTTTACACTTTGCACTCCACACTCCACACTCTGTACTCTACACTTTCCACTCCACACTCCGCACTCCACACTTTACACTCCACACTTTACACTTTACAGTCCACACTCTGCACTTTACACTTCACACTCCACACTTTACACTTTACACTCCACACTCAACACTTTACACGTTACACTTCACACTCCACACTCACTTTACACCCCGCACTCCGCACTACACTCCACACTCCACCTTCCACACTCCACACTTGACACTCTTGACTTTACACTCTACACTTTGCACCCACACTTTAAACTCCAAACTCCACACTCCACACTTTACACTCCACACTTTACACTCCACACTCTACACCCACAGTTTACACTTTACACTTTGCACTCCACACTCCACACTGGTTGGTCGCATGATTTCCTTCACTTGTCTTCCATTGGTCTTTCATTTGTTTCCACTTGTCTCCCACTCTGGGTCCGGTTGGTCGCATGATTTCCTTCACTTGTCTCCCGTTTGTCTTTCATTTGTTTTCACTTGTCTCCCACTCTGGGTCCGGTTGGTCGCATGATTTTCTTCACTTGTCTCCCATTTGTCCTTCATTTGTCTCCCGCTTCTCTTCCACTCTGGGTCTGGTGTGTTGGGTCCGGTTGGTCGCATGATTTCTTTCACTTGTCTCCCATTTGTCTTTCATTTGTCTCCCACTTGGCTCCCACTCTGGGTCGTGTTGGTTGCATGATTTCCTTCACTTGTCTTCCATTGGTCTTTCATTTGTTTCCACTTGTCTCCCACTCTGGGTCCGGTTGGTCGCATGATTTCCTTCATTTGTCTCCCATTTGTCTTTCATTTGTCTCACACTTGGCTCCCACTCTGGGCCGTGTTGGTCGCATGATTTCCTTCACTTGTCTTCCATTGGTCTTTTATTTGTTTCCACTTGTCTCCCACTCTGGGTCTGGTTGGTCGCATGATTTCCTTCACTTTTCTCCCATTTGTCTTTCATTTGTCTCCCACTCTGGGTCCGGTTGGTCGCATGATTTTCTTCACGTGTCTCCCATTTGTCTTTCATTTGTCTCCCGCTTGTCTTCCACTCTGGGTCCGGTTGGTCGCATGATTTCCCTCACTTGTCTCCCATTTGTCTTTCATTTGCCTCCCACTTGTCTCCCACTCTGGGTCTGGTTGGTCGCATGATTTCCTACACTTGTCTTCCACTTGTCTCCCACTCTGGGTCCGGTTGGTCGCATGATTTCCTTCACTTGTCTCCCATTTGTCTTTCATTTGTCTTCCACTTGTCTTCCACTCTGGGTCTGGTTGGTCGCATGATTTCCCTCACTTGTCTCCCCTTTGTCTTTACTTTTTCTCCCACTCTGGGTCCGGTTGATCGCATGATTTCCTTCACTTGTCTCCCATTTGTCTTTCATTTGTCTTCCACTTGTCTCCCACTCTGGGTCCGGTTGGTCGCACGACTTCCTTCACTTGTCTCCCATTTGTCTTTCATTTGTCTCCCGCTTGTCTTCCACTCTGGGTCTGGTTGGTCGCATGATTTCCCTCACTTGTCTCCCATTTGTCTTTCATTTGTCTCCCACTTGTCTCCCACTCTGGGTCTGGTTGGTCGCATGATTTCCTTCACTTTTCTCCCATTTGTCTTACATTTGTCTCCCACTCGGGGTCTGCTTGGTCGCATGATTTCCTTCACTTGTCTCCCATTTGTCTTCATTTGTCTCCCACTTGGCTCCCACTCTGGGTCGTGTTGGTCGCATGATTTCCTTCACTTGTCTTCCATTGGTCTTTCATTTGTTTCCACTTGTCTCCCACTCTGGGTCCTGTTGGTCGCATGATTTTCTTCACTTGTCTCCCATTTGTCTCCCACTTGTCTCCCACTCTGGGTCGTGTTGGTTGCATGATTTCCTTCACTTGTCTTCCATTGGTCTTTCATTTGTTTCCACTTGTCTCCCACTCTGGGTCCGGTTGGTCGCATGATTTCCTTCATTTGTCTCCCATTTGTCTTTCATTTGTCTCCCACTTGGCTCCCACTCTGGGTCGTGTTGGTTGCATGATTTCCTTCACTTGTCTTCCATTGGTCTTTCATTTGTCTCCCACTTGGCTCCCACTCTGGGTCCGGTTGGTCGCATGATTTCCTTCATTTGTCTCCCATTTGTCTTTCATTTGTCTCCCACTTGTCTCCCATTCTGGGGCTGGTTGGTCGCATGATTTCCTTCACTTTTCTCCGATGTGTCTTTCATTTGTCTCCCACTCTGGGTCCGGTTGGTCGCATGATTTCCTTCACTTGTCTTCCATTGGTCTTTCGTTTGTTTCCACTTGTCTCCCGCTCTGGGTCCGGTTGGTCGCATGATTTCCTTCACTTGTCTCCCATTTGTCTTTCATTTGTC